GGATATCAAAAATTCATTGCGAAGACGAATTAAAAGTTTCTTACTTGTTTCCAAATAGCAAAAAAAAAAAAAAATTTTTTTATGTGATATACTAATGGAAAGACCCATAATGACTAAAAATGTGCGTAAACTGTTTTTTTTTTTTTTTTTTTTTTTATTTTTTTTGAAAAAAATGAAAAAAAACATCTTGTCTATAGCCGAGAAGATGTTGGTAATGTGCTTTTATGGCTTTACTTAAGCGAAAACAAAAACAACTATAATAATAATAATAATAATAATAATAACAACAGAGATGACGATGATGAAGCTTTAGGATCGTGCTCAGACAATATTTTTCGCATGCAAAATTATTGCAGTTTACCATTTCAACACTTTGGCAAGGAGCGACTAAGCGTATCACATCACATGTATATGTATATATGTATATATGTAAGCCATGGCCAAGTGCATCATTGAAGTATAATATATTATAGATAAGGTTGGTGTTGTTGTTAATGCTGTTGTTGGTTTCCTGTAAAAGTTAAGATACTTTTTATGGTTCTCATGGTTATAGTACATTGATGGCCATGTTGATGGTAAGCTATAAATACGCTAATTCATGGTTATTGTCGATTGGTTTTGGTTAGCAATTATATGCTATGACTGTGTATATACGTGTTATATGTGTGCGAGTATTTGTACGCGTCTATGATGCTCAGGATAAATAAACGCAAATGCAAATAAACAAAAAGAAAAACGAAAGAAAAAGAAAAAGCTTATGTATCAACGGCTGATAAATAAATAAAAAAAACAAAACAAAAAAAAAAAAACAATAACAAAAAAAAAACAAAAAAAAAAAAACAAAGAAAAGAAGAAGGAAAACCAACTTTAACACATTTGCTCACTTAACTTGTTCGGTGTCTGGCAGCCGATAAATTGTAAAGATCGTGCCAAACATTAACACTTTATAGCCTAACCAACCGAGCAACCTACCAACAGAAGCGTAATCATAATGTATTGTATGTCTACATGGTTAAAAACACATTAAATGCTTATGTTTATTTTCTGACGGTGCAAAAGATTTGCGTATCGAAGAAGCAACAGCAGCAGAAAAATACAATAACCGCATACTATGACGTTGAAGGGTATCCCATATATGTATGCGTGAGTTTATTATTGCAGCTATTATGCCCGATGCATCTATGTATGCGTATACGTATGCGTAAGTGTGTATGTATATATGTATGTATGTATGTATGTATGTATGTATGTATATGCATATATGTATGTATGTATATGCGTGTATGTATGTATATGCGTGTATGTATGT